GGATAGTTACGTCAAATGATAATAATAAAGTTAAAGTAATTAGAAAATATATTTTTTTAAAATATGACAAAATGACAGTTGATCTAATATACTCTAAACAAGAAACTGACAATTATTTTAAAGAAGAGGAATAGAAATTAAGACAGGCATGCTGCAATAAGAGTTCCAAGGTGAAAACTTAAAATTCCAATTCTAAATTAGATATTTCAAATTCAAACTTTAACACTTTAATTGTTTTGAGGGACGGGAGATAAGTGGAGTGAAAATTATTATAATTAATCAAATTATTTTATTGGCCCAATGATTTTTTTTTTTTTGAAAACCATTGACCCAATGGTTTGATTGGTTAAAATAAGGTCACTTCCCCTTTCCTCCCCTCCCCTCTCATTCCGTCTGGATCTCTCAAATCCAATAGATTGTAAGAGTGTTCTCTACTTCTTTTTTATAATCTATATTAGTTTAGAAGAAGAAACGACGAAAAGTTAATCCACCATCTAAGATTCTATTATTATCTCGAAGTAAATGATCAAATACTTAATCTCTTTTTAAAGAAAATTAAATATATAAATAAAACAAACTTAAAAAAGATTTCTCACCCATCCACTTAATTCTTTTTTAAAAAAATTGTGAAGTTCATATCTTCAATTTGAAACTTTTGAAACATAATACTTTTAATTGATAAAGAAAAAATATTATATTCTTAATTAAAAAATTTTCTAAAAATAATATCCTTATTTAGAGTATCAAATCAAAGCAACGGCTATAATTGGATACTTGGGAATTTTTATTCATGAGCTGGCTGGATTCTAGAACCACAGAATGTCACCACCTGAAGTATATAAAAGAAATTGGTTGAATTAGTATTATTTATTATGTGCTTTGTATCTCTGTCATACTAATTTTTAAAGGGTCAGTTTCTTTTTCTGCAACGGAGTTATTTGCCATGTCGTCCACAAAATGACATGAGATCTGAAAGGAATACATATGAGAATTTTTTAAGAGGACATGGAAATTGACTTTAGGTTATTTTTTTATTTTTTTTAATTATTTTATAGTTTAGATTATATTAAATTATAAAATGTAAATCATTAAATAATAAGAGATTCTTGATAATAGGTGAGAACTTCTTTATCTTATGATTATGGTTTTGCAATTTGATGCAGTTTGAGTTATAAAAGTTAAACTCTCATTTTGGGTCCCTCTACTTTCATAAGGACCCTAAGTTAGTCTCTCAACTTAAAAAATTCCTGATTTAGTTCTTAAAATTTGATATTTTGGCTTCAACTTGTTCTTTCTGTTAAAAATCTATTGATTTGTGCCCTTACCTAACAAAAAAAGAATGACATGTAAAAATATTTATACATGTAGGATTGACAACATATGACAAATTGACATGACATGTAATTCCTGATGAAAAGTTAAAACATCTCAAACTAATTATAAATCTAAAACTACTTTTTTACCCTTATCTTCAACCAAGCCTCAATTTCTTTCCTTCTTCCTTTCATTCCCCCTTTCTTTTCATCTCCAACCGCTTTTGATGTTCATCTTCTTCCAGATCCTTGCTTGCTAGCCTTGGGGGTTTAACCTTCTCTTTTTCTGTTCTTCATGTGAACCATGATTTCTCTCTCTTCCTCTCCTCTCTACTCAAACTTCAATTTGACCAAATCTAGCAACAACATCACACAAGGTTGAGAGAGATAGCCAAATTTGGCTTTGTACTTTAACCTAAACCTAGGTTCTTTTGAACCCAGCAAGCGTTGGGTTCAATTGAACCCAACAAGCCTGGGTTTTATTCTTTTGGGAAAGAAATCAAAAAGATTTTCTGTTTTTGGTGGGTTTTGTTGTTTGATGATGATGAAGAATGGAATTCTATTTCATTGAATTGATTGTTTGATTTAGAAAAATAATGATGAAAGTGAACTCAGAGGAGGCAAAGAGATAGAAAAACAAGGATGAATGAAGAAGAATTGTGAAAGAGAATGTTGGCAGAAGAAGACAAGGGTAAAATTGTAATTTTTGATAAATTAGATAATTATATTTGTTTTATGATACAGTCAAGGTTTTTTTTACCACATCATTTACCCACACTATCTTCTTCTATCAATTAATGGGCCACATTAGCGAAAATTTAGCGGAAGGATTAAAAATGAGCCAAAAAATCAAACATAAGGGACTAAATTAAAGATTTTTTAAGTTGAGAGATTCACTCAAGAGTCTGTACAAAAGTTGAGGGACTAAATAGGGGTTTAACCAACTGTAAAATACCGATTAAATCACAAAACAATGAATTATTTTTTAATAATAATACTATAGTTTCAATGTTATTTTTTTCTAATAAAAAAACTATAATTACAAGTTACATACAATTATAATCTTACAATCAGGCATGACATTAAATGAACATAGTATAGTATTAAACGAGTAGATGTATATAATATATATCCGGAATTGATTTATAAATAAAAAGAATTAATTATTTAATGATACATTATGTTATAGATTTATAATACTACATAATATTGTAATTATAATAATCTTTTTGATGTTTACTTTAGTCAATTTGTTTAATTAAACAATCATTTAGATTAAAATAATAAAAAAAAAACGATAATGGATCAAAATGTTTTGACAGATGTTATGTATTTTAGAAATTTAAAAAGAAGAATGTACACATAATGGGGAATTAATGGCTTAACACTAACTAATTATAGCTTTAATATATTCTTTTCATTTATTTTTAGTAGATTTAATTTAATTTTTTGATTTTTTAAACATAAATTTTAAATAAAAATTTAATTAACTTATTATATAAATAATAATTAAAATTTTTTTAATTAAGAATAAAAATATTCATTAAGAACTATATATATATAAGAAAAAAATTTAATAGTTATTCATATAAAATGTTAGATTTTTATCTAAAATTCATATTTAAAAAATTGAAAAGTCAAAAAAAAAAAAGGGAGAGTAGCTAATACAGCATTGAAACAAATGTGAACTCTAAAGAGATTAACGTTTAGAACTTTAAATTGGCTGGATAAATATGAATATTTAGATTACTAATAATATTATTAATATTTGGGGTGTGGTTTATTGATTGCTATTTTGACCGATATGCAGTATGGCCATGGACACGGTATTCATGGCCAAAAGAATGGCCAATCTACGAAGGAAAAGTTATTAGCGTCACCATCCGACTTGCCAACGTGTTGAGACTGTCTTTGAATTATCTTCAAGGTTGCAAATTATTTGTGTTAAGATTACCAGTTTGTCATGAATTTGGCCCCACAGTTATATTACTGCATGCAGATACCAGTTTTTGGGAAGACATTTGGCTTGGAACTTCTCCACTTAAATCTGAATTCCCTCAGTTGTTTAATCTTGCCAGCCGCAAGGACTCTTCAGTTGCTGACTTAAAGCCAACCCATAGCGGGAATTGGTGTTTGAATGGCCCAGGGCCCCTTTTGGAAGAGAATTAAATGAACTTGAAACGCTGGTCGACATCATGAGGAATGTTCACATCCCTACCGGCCAACTTGACCATTTTATATGGAGACACTGTGCTTCGGGATACACAACAAAAAAGGCATACATATTCCTTGATGACTCAAACCCCTGCCTTGATGATAGCTACTGCAAACTAATATGGAATCTGTATGTTCCCCCCAAAGTCAGTGTTCTTATCTGGCGTCTTCTTCTCAATCGCCTCCCCTCTAAGGAGAATCTAATCCTTCGAGGCATTGATGATTTGTCCAACACAAATTGTGTTTTCTGCGGTGCCCAAATGGAGGATGTCAACCATCTCTTTGCTAAATGCAAGAAGGTCCAGCTACTATGGAGCAAAATCTGTCTTTGGTGGGGGTTCTCATTCGTCCCTCCTAATAATGCCTCCTTGCTTATTCTTCAACTCTGTTCACTTCCTGACTCAAAAAAGGCACGAAACTGTTGGATCCCTATTGTTTTAGCAACTGCATGGCTCATCTGGTACTCTAGGAATGGCGTGATTTTCAAATCCATGACATGGGATGAAAACAACCTTGCTGATCTTGTTCAGTCAAAAACTTTTGAATGGATTAAAGGGATCTCCACCTCTGCTGCATTTTCCTTTGGAGATTGGTGTCAATTTCCAATGCTGTGCTCTAAGGAGACTTAACCTTTCCCCTTTTTCCTTCTTCCTAATCATGTATATGGGAGAGTACCCCTTGTACTCAATTTTATAATAAAATTTTAATTCATCTAAAATATATATATATATTACTGCATGCAGAGAAATATATTGTGACTTGTAACATTTGTTCTATACTTTCTTTACTCTGAAATTCCTGTTGAATGTATTGTAAACAATAAAGAAATGATTTCAAGTGTGAGACGATTCGGGCGTTTCACCTGTTGTTGTGTTTGACAAATTTTTTAGGATGGTAATTGATATGACAGTAGACAAACTCATACTGCTAGCTGGTGCATGAGAAGTTCCGTATTCGTCCAGTCCAATGCATTGCTCTTCGTCAACAATTGCCAACTTTTGGATCGTAGAAGACTTTTGACAATTGGACGTACGTGGAAGACTTAATAATTAATAAGAATTCATTATAGTATTATGTAATCCATTGTAATTAATCATGAGGACTCAATTTTTTCTTTGTATTCCTTCCTGCCCCTTATTAATCATGGACCTTGGACCTTTCGTATTTTATTCAGGTTTGGACTTTGAGACACGGATTGTTAATTATCTGTGACAGTAGTATTAATTTAGGATTGATGAACTGAACTTTTTTAATTGTGATTGATGAATAGAAGGGTGGGAGGTGATATGGTTTGCTTGTGTTTGGTTCTTATGTTTGTCTAGAAACAATCATGTATTAAAGGAGAAAGAACTAGAAGCTGTAATGGTGTTTGAAATTATCCAAATTAGATCATGGGAATGGATGCTGCTACGAGGTACTACATAGGTGCCCACCACAAAATGACCGCATGTGCATAATTAAAATGATAAAACACGATCGGATGGAGAGAGAAAGGGCTAGGGTTCGAGACAGGTTTCCGACAGCCAGGGACAGCGGCAGTGGTTTCCGGCGGCGGCTCCCAGGATACGGTAAGCACTTCATTGGGCAGGCAACGACATACTTTTTCTATGATTTTCCGGTGAATTCTTCTGCTAAGGATTTGTGGTATAGCTTCTGGTCTTTCGGGAAGGTAGCAGATGTTTATATTCCAGAAAGGAGAGATCGGAGAGGGCGTCGGTTTGGATTTGTTCGGATGTCTGAGGTTTCAGATGCTGAGGGTATGGAAAGAAAGTTGAATCAGATTTGGCTGGGTTCGTATCGATTGAAGGTGAAATTGGCAGGAAACATGAAGTCCGGGAGGGAAGGGATGTCGAGAGGACGGCAGCAACAGCAAACAACAGCGAAGTGGTTCAGACGAGATCGAAAGGTGTCTCCTGGGATAACATATGCACAGATTGTTGCTGGAAAACCTAAGGCATCTGATGAAGGGGAGTCACAGCACCATGTAGAGGAACAGGTAGCGGTGCAAAAAGTACTGGAGAAGAAAGAGGCTGGGGTAGGGAAAAATGGTGCAACGTCGAAAGAGTTGGCAGTGATACCAGTGTCAATCCCTGATCAGGCTTCAACGTCAATAGCGAATGATGACCATGCAAAGACTTATGTGCCGAAGGAGTCGAAGGCTGAGTTGGTTCTGCAGTTTTCTCCCAAGGAGGATGAAGTGGCATGGTTGAAGCAAAGTAGAGTGGCACTGGTTCGGTCACTGGAGTTGGTGACAAAAATACAAAATAGGCTGGATGTGGATGGCTTATTGGTGAATGTTGCTCTGCTAGGGGGTAGACACGTTCTGTTAATAGATAATATGGAGGGTTGTCTAGAGGAGTTTATTGATAAAAACAAGGAGTTGGTGGAGTCTTGGTTCGAATGGATACAGCCAACTTCGTTATTTACTAAGCCATCGAGAAACAGGTTGGTGTGGCTTCGTTTTAATGGTGTTCCATTGCGAGCATGGAGTGAGAGATGTTTCTTGGAACTAGCAGCTTTAATGGGTGAAGTAATACTTGTTGATGATGATACAAAATCTAAATCATTTTTGTGTGAAGGTCGGGTCTTGGTATTGTGCGATGATGACAGGAAAATTTCGCAGACAATCACTTTAATGGTGGATGGAGAGACTTTTCTGATCAAGGTATCAGAGGAGGAGTGGCGTATGGATCCGGATTGGTGGCTGGCCGGTGAACGGAGGAGCTCCAGTACGAGGTTGGATGTGTCCGACATGGAGTCTGATAATTCCGATGACCGTTACAGTGAAGGTGATGACAGAGCAGTTATGGCCGAAGATGGTGCAGAAACGGAAGTAGAATCAAATCTGAGTTTAAAACAGAATTTTGTTCAGAATTTTGTTCAAAATTTTGAATTAAATGGGCTGGAAATGGATGGGCTGG